GCGCCCGTCGCGGCTCCGGACGCTAATCCCCGCCGCTGCGGGGCCCGGGCCGCGGCTGGGAAAAGTTGGGGCGGACCGGGAGCCTGCGTGGGCCGGGCGGGAAGTGTGGGTGCCGAGCAGACTTGGGGGTCGGAGGGACGCCGTGCGAGGGGGTCCCGGGCCGGAGGCTGGGAGGGCCCGATTTGGGAAGGCGAGAGACGCAGGTCTTTTGCTGGCGGGGAAAAAGGGATCCGCTCAGGGTCTCGGGCAGGAGCTGAGGGCTCTGGGTGAAGAGGGAAGGAGGGAGGCCCCACTGGGGACGAGCCTGGGGGCCGGGAGACCAGAGGCTAGCCGACTGCAGGGTGGAGCGCTGGGGAATGGCTTTTGCCGCCTCCTCGCCTCATTAGGGGCAGACCCTGAGAGAGGGGTCAGGCTCAGAGTCTGGGACGCACCCGGCGGGGAGTTCCTATCATGGGTGGGGGAGGGAGCTAAGCGTTGCTTTCTCTGTCGCTTGGGTCAAGTACCTCTCCGCATCTGCCACACTCACCTCCCAGGCTGCAGTGCTTTTGTCCTGGGGAAGTTGAGGAGGGACCCTTGAGTGGATGAGATATTACGGGTTCCAAGGTGAGTAGGAATGGGCTGCATGAAATAATCATAACGGTCGCCAGCAGCTGTCTGAAAACAACTCCGACCACCTCCCACACCCACCCACTCCATTCCCTCTCCAGTACCATCAAGGTCCGATTACCTGGGTTGGGCTGGCCTGTCCCTAAAGCCCAGCAGCACATCTACTTTCAGGGTCTTGGGTATCCTGAAGGGAGTATAAAACATGGCCTTTTATTCTCTGGCTGGGGTTGGTTATTTCAGAAACAAGTGGTTCTGGAAATGCTGGATGCTTTATTAGAACAACCTGTGTGGTGCTCGTTGACAATGGTGATGACTCATCTTTGTCCCTCCCTCCTGCAAATAAACTCTATCAAGACACAAGTATGCCATGTCAAGTGATAGAGCTGGAGACCCACGCTGTGGGCCTCTTATGCCCTGGTTCTAGATATATTAGCAAGGAGTATGACCTTCGGTAAATCCTTTGCCCTCTCTGGACCTCAGTTTCCTTATCTGAAATGGGGTATAAACAGAGCTAGACAATCTGATGGAGGGAGGAGTAGGTTTCTGAGGGAGACAGAGGTCTTTTTCCTTGTGAGACTAGATCAGCCACAAAATCAGCCTTAGCTTATTATGAAGAAAATAGGATGAACTTAAAAAAGATAAGAAGCAAGAACGATTGTAAAAAACAAGACGAAACAAAAAAACTAATAATTGGTACTAGAGTTACAGTATGAATATTGTCCTCATGCAGGCAATTAGTATACATGGCTGTCCAGCTATCTTTACGATAAAGTTTTAAACTGTGCTTAAAATAATTACATATCTCACATGTGGACCTTAATTTTTTCTTTTGTTTTAACCTTCAAGCCTAGAGTGGATGCTCGGTTGGACTGTTTGTTCTTGGTGCAGCCTTACTTGAAGAACGTCCCCAGGATCTCTCGTTGCCATAGGATTATAGATTTCTTTCAGTCTGCCTGATGCTGGGATCCTTGTACCACCACACTTCTGTCTTCTTTTCCATTCTGGCTTGAGAAGTGGTTAGCTGATATGTGACATTTCTGAACTTCCCAGGTTTCTTTTCAAGTGAGTGTAATTAATAGGCAAACAGTGCAATAGATGCAGCATGTTGAAAATAGCTCAGGGTAATAACATGTCCACCGCACCCCTTTTCCCCAGACCTCCTGGGCAGTCTCTCACTTCCAGGTCACCGGATGGCCATCTCGATTTGGATACTAAGGGTTGAAATGACATGGCCAGGTCATAAATAGCAAATTTATGATCAAGCCATGATGCTGGAAGGAGAGGAGGACTTTTTTTTTGTATTTTATCACAACTGAATGCTCTGGTCCTTCTGTTTTCTTCTATTAGTACCTTTCAAAATCCATAACGGGTTCGACTATATCATTTTCACTAATCCTTTTTTGTCAGTTTCTTGGAAGCTGTAGTTAGTGGTTATCTTTGAGTTTGGGGTGGTAAAATTATATCCTCTCCAACAAGTAAAGCCTCGATTAATTATCGAATCTTTAAAATGTTATATATATATATATATGTATATTTGTGGTGTATACTATATATAGTATATGTGTGTATGTATGTGTTTAAATTTTACTTTAGGACTATTAATAAAAGTCACGATGCTGATAATAGTTACCATTTGAGCCCCTACCATTTATTAGGCACTGTGAGGTGAGATAACAGTTCAGAAAGGGCACAGCTGGTTTGCATAAGTTACTGATGATCTCTGAAACGAAACAGCCTTTTATAATAGTGAAAAAGGAATTCTTAGCTATTCTACATGGTTGTGATGCTAAATGAGGTAATGTATATGGAAAGCAACATGTAAACTGTAAAGTGCCCTTCAACCCAGGATTATGTTTTAATATAAGCAGTTGGGGACACTGGAAGCTTATAAGTTCATGGGTCCTGGTGTCTGGTGGGCCTGCCTGTACATCCTGAGCCCGTCATCTAACCCCCTGAGCTTGGTTTCTGCATATGTAAAACCAAGATATCATCTGTATTATATTAAATGAGAGACCTGTGAATTGCAGTGGGTGCTCAGTGGAAGTTGACGTCTACCCCTTTCTCTTACTTAGACCACAGGCACTTGGGATAATGGCATCGATTAAGTCTTCCCGTAGGAATAGCCCTCAAGGGAAAAAGGCTTTTAAAGTACACTTTTGTGCTTATGAATAATTCTTCCCGCTTTTGCCTTCCCACTCCAGCCCCCAACATACGGAGCGAATATTCCAGGCCTTGCCATCATCTAAAAGGAGGGAATTGAACAAAACCTGAAGCCAGAAAAGACAGGTCTCTGATAGGAGGTGAAGATGGGTGTAGCTGGTTTCCCTTTGCCCATTTTGCGCCCTGCTCTCTCTTAAAAAAATCCATTTTATGGACAGGGAAAAGATACTGAATTGGGTGCGGGGAGCTTGTAAGCTGGAAAGAGGCATTGGAAAATTATAGTGTAAGGTGAGAAGGCAGGGCAGATATGGGCTGGGAAGGAAATGGAAGAGTTGAATCTGACAGTGAAAGCTGTAAAGTTTGGTGTGGGAGAAATCTGTTAGATATAGGATTTGGCTAAATATGGGGCCAATTTCTCTCTAGTCCTATAAGGCTCTCTTGTGGGGCTTTGAAGTTTTCATGCTCCAGGCAGATTTTGACTGGTGGTGGTGGCGTCATAAGTGAGTTTCCATAGTAAGTTGTCTGCTGAAAGGAATTTAAATTCCAAGAGGGTGTTTGTTGTGACTGATGCCAGAATTTCTCTGAGAATTTTATTAAGATTCAGTCAGTCTATAAAAGTACTTCTTAGTTCTCTGAAGATATTAATTAAGAAATAGTTTTAAAAAGTAGAAGTGTGTCCTTTGTGAGCTTTTGAAATGTAATCTTCCTAAATCCTTAGAACAAATGAAGTCCAAAAAATCGTAGAGTTATAAATTGTAAAAGCATTTCCTCCCAAAGTAATGTTTTCTTTCCTCTCCCCTTCTGTCCCTCCTCTTGCATTATTTTGATAATGAGTTAATTTTGGTGTCTTTCACATTTTGGAAGCCTAATTTTTATGTTTATGACCCTTTTAGATCTTGACTGTGCCGCCTTTTGTCTTGAGTCAAGTCTTTTTCATTCCTTATGTAGCAGTAGTGCAGCGAGGTGGTGAAGAGCAGACTCAAGCCAGGTTGGGAATAGATGGAGTGGAGATTGCTCTTGGAGAGCTAGGCTCTCTGCAACTTGGATTTAATCTTCACAACAGCTCTGGAGGTCGATTGTGTTATTCCAAGTTCACAGAGAAGGAAATGGGCACAGAAACACATGCACCCGCATAGCCAGCAAGTGGTTAGTCTGAGTGTCATTCGAGATCTGTGCGACACTACACCTGTGCAGGCAGAAGCCTTGCAGGCCCTGGCAGGGTTGTACTCTGTCTTCCAGGCTGGGGATTTCCACTGAGGGAGAGGTCAGGTCTGTATTTTAGAAAGGTAGCTAGCTAGCTCCATGGGCAGTGGGGAGTATGAAATTAAGAGTAGAGAAACGAGTTCATTAGAGTAACTGACATGACAAATGACAAGGGCTTGAACTTAACACATTAAGATAAAGGAGTGGCAACGGAGAAAAAGTGATGTGTCAGAATGGATAGTGCTTGTGCCCGCCCCGCCCCCGCTCCTTCCCCCATATTGTAGATGCCAGCTATGTAGACTGAAAGCAGTCTCTGCAGAGACCGAAATTGTCTCCTTTGGTATTTTCTGACAGCTAAAGAAGGTACTTGAGTAAAACCTGAAAGTGCCTTCCCCTCACATTGCTCACCCGCTCGCCTTATCATTTCTGCCTTTCCAGGAGCATCTCGGAGGATGGAGTTCAGGTTCCTCAGACCCCAGTTAGGGAAATGCTGGTTTGAGCATTCAAAGTGGAAGGTGTTGAAGGGACAAAGCCCTCAGAGAAGGAAGCTTCCCTTGAGTACAGTCTACAGCCTTCTGTTCCATGGTGGACCCAGTGGACCCACCAGGGGAGGTGGGCCTTAGTTCTGGCTGTTCCCAAAGAGTTGACCTGCCTCAAGTGTGTGTGGGGGGTAACTTGTGGTTACCAGGCATGCAGGGGCTGGCTCGGAAAGGGGAAGGGTAGTGAGTGAGTTCACAGTGGTGGCTCGCTCTTCGAGGAGGAGGGACCCCCTGCTCCCTTGAAGGTTGCAACCCCACTGGAGAGTCAGGCCATACTTGGGTGAACTGGATTCAGAGCAAAGGAAGATGACTAGTCCCGGTGGCTAGTGTCTGCGTGTCCTAGTCACGTACTGTTTGTTGCCATGTCAGTAATATGCCAGTCTCATGTCCTCTCTCCTAAGCAGTGCCAGACTCCGTAATCAACTTGCTTGGGCTTTTGTTTTCCAGATTGCATAAGACTTGTGCCCTTCAGATGATATATTCTTGGTTGGCTCAGGCCATTTGATCAGGTTCCGGCTTTATGTGGGCTGTGTCCTCATTGCGAGGAAGGTTACCTTCATTACAAGGGTTACCTTTATTGGACTGCCTATTTCCCGGCATTCGAAGTCACAAGCCATCTCCGCAGTGAGTCACTGCAGAAGACTCAGCTCTACCACTTTCTGCTGGATGGTACCCCTTCAAGAGGTGACTTCTTATTCTTGTCCTAAGGGCACCTCTTGGCAGCCCCCTAACTGCATTTAGTTAAAGTGCCCAGTGAGTTTGTCTGGCACTAATAGGGTACCTGTTTTAATGGGAGGAGAGCATTTTCGCTTGGTGATGTTAGTTGTCATGCCTGCTTCTTGAACATTATGTCCTAAGCAAAGCTCCATTTTTTTTTCTTTTTGCCTTATGTTTAGCTCTCTGTGTATATTTGGGGTGTGTGTTTTAATTATTACTGGGAAGCAAAAAAGATATTTATCACATGTTAGAGTCTGTATATTTAGCCAGGATACCATTGATTTATCTCTCCTTTTTCCACAGTGTTGCTGTTTTGTTGGCAGAACCATCTGATTTGTATACTGGTTCAGTTTGGATTTCAGTAGTGAGTGTGAAAAGATGCCTGGGCTGTTTGCCGAAGTGGCGGGACTCAAATGAGTGGGCTTCGGGCCTGCCGGTCTTGGCTCTCCCGCAAATGTGAGGGGTCTGGCACACGCGCCTTTGTTGGGAAGGTGGAGTTTGGCCAGGCCTTTTTGTTGGCATTGCCTGGGAGCAGCTCTGCTGGTAACAGTAGGTGGCTTTCCCTCTGCTGTGGGAAAAAGAATTCTCTCTTAATCCTGGTATTTGCCTTTTTTCTCATCCCATGGGGATGAGAGGGAGGAAAGTCCCGGAATAATGAGTTTTAGAGCTGGGCAGGTTCAGGGTGAGTCAGATTTGCAACTTCCACAGAGCTTTTCCAGAAGCTTTCCTCACATTCCATGTTTCCCTTCTCTCTTGATCCCAATCCCTTCTGTCATCAGTGGCTTAGAAATTGGACTTGAACTTTATCACTCTTGGGAAGACCTGGGAGTGTGACATCAAAACTTGTTCAAAACGGGTGTGTCAGTTTTATACCAGCACAGGAACCTTATGTTCGTCTTGGTTGTGGTGTTTTTAAATCAGTTTAATTGCTTTTTTCTTAAATGATATAGGTAATACATGAATATGTTATGTTCTTGCACCCTACCCTCCCATTCAAATCGTACATTGTAGTACATAGCAGAACATGTAAAGTCCCAGCACCGCTGCTCCACACACTGCTTCCCTGCTGGGTCCTCAGAGGTAACCAGTTTTAACAGTTTGATGCATATCCTGAAATTGTTCATCATCCTGAATAGACAGACACAAATACATACAGTTTTGTTTTGTTCGTAAGCATCAGTCTGGTGGCATCATATATATTATTTCACTGTTTTTTCTTTTTCTTTTCAAATTTCTTATAGATCTTTTAATGCATGTAGCTCTTTAATTTGCAAAATATTTTATAGTATAGATAGATCATAATTTATGAGTCAGCTCCCATTGATAGATAAATGAACCAACTCATTGGCTTTGCTGTTATATCTTCATTCATACATATTGTTACGTACATATGCATGTGTTTCTCAGGAGTGGAATTAGTGTGTCAAAATTCTATACATTTAAGCTGTTACAGCAGTACCCATGTTGTGCTTTCAAGGGCTATACTGGTTTAAACTACCAGGACTGTATGAGGCTGCCCATTTCCCTGTGGGTTGACATTCTTCTAGGTGAAAGAAATAGATAGTGTTTAGTAGGCATTTCATCAATTACTGGTGAGCCTGAGATTCTTCATTTGGCCTCTGGATCGTAGTGGGTGGGTCCATAGTAATCGTGAGGGATGAGGGAGCTGAGCCCTCTGGGACCAAGGTGTGAGTGTCCTGTTGCTAGGGGTGGCAAAGTGGCAACTAGTAGCAAACGTTCCTGGTTTCACATTCTTTCTGCTTCTCCCAGAGCCTAGGTACTGTAGTAGAGCACTTTAGTTTTGGTGTGCCCTGCCAGAGTATTTCTTCCAGCCTCTTCCCACAAGGAAGCAAGCATGTATAAGCAGCATATTGAGACCAGTCCCTTTTGTACTGCCAGAGCAGGGATTCGAGACTGAGAAGCTGAATCGGGAGGACATTTAAAGATTGCCTGCCAGAAAATCAGATGTTCTTGCTTCTGGAATAGCCTCCATGAATGTGGTGAAGCCAGATTCTGTGTGCAGTGGCCTTTCCAGTGGTGTGGAGATCTGTTGCCCCTTTCTCCTGGCTTGATGTGGGAATATTGTGATGGTTTTTCCCTTAGCCTGGGTGCTTTGGGGAGAAGCCATGGTTTCTGAGAAGATGTTCCAGGGGCCTGACCTGGTAGGGGAGGCATGTGCAGGCCCTCATGAATACGCTCACCCAGGCTGTCCCTGCAGGCTGAGCTGCCCAGTGGGTTTTGGAAAGCTCTGGCTTATTGGATGTTCAGGGAAGGTGGGAGGGCAGAGTGAAGAGTAATGGAGAGGCAGCCTGGGGTGCTAAAGAACTCTAGGGTCAGGCCAAGTGGGGTTCCAGCTCCCACTCAGCCCCTTATGGATTGAAACTTAAGCAAATATTTTATTTCCCTTAGCCTCAGTTTTCTCATCTGTTAACCAGGAATAATATTAGTACCTACCTCACAGGGCTGTTGTAAGGATTCTGAGTAATGTTTGTAAAGGGCTCAGCATATTACGTAGTAAGGATTCTAATTGTAAGTAACTACTACTATTATTTGTGTTCCCTGTAATAAATGTTAAGTGCACGAATGCACATTACATTTGCTAAATATAAAAATGCACATAGTCTAGTAATATTAATGAGAGGAGACCAGGAGATGAGGAGCTGACTAGAGGCAGATTCGGCTCAGTTGGGGCTATGAGAGTAAAGAAGGGGTGAAGGCAGGAGGTTTGGCAGGGAGCCTTTTGTGGGGAAAGTGGGTTTAATGTTCTCTTTTCACACTAGTTTTCCTGCTGTGAAATGCCAAGGCCCCAAATGCAGAGCCTGTTCCCTCTTTTTAGACACGGTAAGTGTTGAGGCTGCCTAGAACAACCTCTCCCTTTTGTTTTTGTGGAGGCTGAGCAAGGCCCTGTAAGGTAAAGTGCCTCCCTGGCCACATGGCCAACCGTCACAGAGTGGAGATGGGGTCCTCACTTTGGGGGTTGAGGTTCTTTCCCTTTTCTCCACACTGCTCTGCCATGTGCTGCCCATTTCCAGTTGTGGGGAAAAGAGAACTACAGGGTGTTGGCCCTTTGCAAAGGTCTGCATCCCGGGGCCCTTGTGAGATAAGGCCGTTGAAGTGCAGAGAGGTAAAATCAAGTGCAACCCAATGTGCATCAGGCAGGGTTGGGATTCAGATTCAGGCCCTCCTGCTCCAAAGTACACGCTTGTACCTTCTAATGGGTTATGCATCTAACAGTGCTGGCCCTGGGGTGACGTCTGTGCTGGTTTCATGTGCCTGATCAACTGAATGTTTGTTCACGTATGACAACAAGTTTGTTTGAAGCCCCTAATTTGCTTGCTGTTGGTTGACCCAAACCAGATATGTGGGCCCTGCAGGTTGAGTGTGGGGAAGGCTATACCCAAGACCTCTAAAGCAGGCCAGGCCACTGAAGTCCAGATGGAGACAAGGAAACCCTACTCTTGGGAGCCGAGCTTGGTGTGTGAGCTTGTCCTCTCAAGGCCTGAGTGGAGCAGAGCCACCCAATGAGGATGCAGGCGGGACCTGGGCAGACTGCATGGCTTACAGCGGCCTGTGACATGAGTCCAGATAATGTGTGTGAAAATTAGCTATGCAAACGAGATTATAGTGGCCTGTGGTATGAGAGATTTCAAAGTAGTGTGTGAAAAGTACCAAATGCCTTAAATGTAGGTCAGCAGAATGGAGACTTCACCTTGGCTCTAGAAGTCTGAGAAGGCTTCTCAAAAGCAGCACATTTAAACAAGCCTTACCTGCCCCTTAGAGAGCAGATAGACTTGGCTTCTAATTCAGCCTTCACTTTGCAGATGAGGACCCGGAGGCCCAGGGACGAGCTCCCTTGTTCATGGTCATGGCCCTCGTTGAGGGAGAGCTGAGGCTGGAGACTTTTCCTATCCCTCCACCCCATAATGTATGGTCGGTGATCACTGAGCAGTGGCCATCCTCTGGGCTAGCATGGCACTCAGCACCTGAAGGAGCTCAGTCTTATTTATCAAATGAACAAAGTCCCCAGTTCAGTTCTGGTCCTAGCTCTTCTGTCTCTGAGCAAAGTTAGGATATCAGTCTCTCAGTTTTGCCCTCTGGAGGGTAGGTATAGCACCCCCACCTCCCTCCTCAGCTTGTCTTCACTCAAGATTCATTCAGTATATATTTTTTGAGTGCCTACTTGGTGCCAGACGCAATCGTATGGTTGGGCATTTTGTACTGAACAAAAGAAGTTAAAATCTTGTTTCTTCTGGTGTTTGTTTTCTAGTGAGGGGCGACAGTAAGTGATTACAATTCATGGTATGTGTATTAGTTTCCTAGAGTTGCTATAACAAAAGAGCACAAACCACATGGTTTAAACAACAGAAAATTATTCTCTCACGGTTCTGCAGGTTCTGAGGGAGAATCTGTTCCATGCTTCTTTCATACCTTCTGGTGGCTGCAGGCAAGCCTTGGTGTTCTTAGCTTATGACAGCCTGGCTCTGCGCTCTGCCTCTCTCATCCCTCGTCCTTCTTCCCTGTGTGTCTCTAGTTTTCTTATAAGGACACCAGTCCTTGTGTTAGGGGCCCACTCGACTCCAGTGTGTCCTCATCTTAACTAATTACATCTGCAAAGACCCTTTTTCCAAATGAGGTCACATTCTTAGGTTCCAGGTGGACGTGGACTTTCAAGGGACCCTGTTCAACTCAGCACAGTATGTGATATGGTGATGATTGCTGAAAAGCAGGAAGAGTGCCAGGGGCAGAGGTGAGGTGGGGTGGGGAGGTGTTGGTGGGTGATCAGGGCAGGCCTTGCTGAGAACTAGTGTTTCAGCTTCCATCTGGAAGAGGGAGTGGGAAGGGAGCCGATGTGTGGAGGGAGAACATTCTAGGCAGAGAAAACAGCAAATGCAGAGGCCTTGAGGTTGGCATGTGTACCTGCTGAGATGATGACAGCATGGTTGAAGTTTGTGTGTGTGTGTAGTGAGAGAGAGGGAGGGAGGGATATGTCAGGAGGACATGAAGTCTGAGAGTATGTGGGGATCAAGGATCAAGTAGGTCCTTGGCAGTCTGTGAAGTTGCCAGTTCGCTCTAGTGAGATGAGAGCCGCTGTCGTGGCTGTGAGCATGAATGAAAGCAGGATTGGCATGGACCAGCTCATTTAGGATTTTTTCCAAGTTCAGTTGACCATTGCAGCGCTGTGCGTGTGCATCTAGGTATTCTGCAGCAACTATTTCTCTGCAGTTTCTTTTTTAAATGTTAGTGCCCTGTTAACCCTCAATCCACCTCCCTCTCCTTTCTGTTCTCTCTCCTTCTAGATGCCTTTTTACCCCTTCACCTCTCCACACTGAAACCACAGGCATGAAGAAGAGAAAGTAGATACAA